TTTGGCAACAGATTCATATGTATGCTGGTTTCAGTGTCCTGGGGTGACCTTTTGACAAAATATAAAATTGTTAATCAAGACACACACCCCACCCCACCCCCAGTCAATGGTGTCCCTCTTTACCAATCTGAAAATCTGGTCACCTTACTATTACCTCAAAGACCAAGGAAATCCAATGAAAAGAGATTTTTGCTAGTCATCTAGCAAGAACAAAAAGAAATCACCCTAATTGCTGCACCTAAACAGCAAAAATTTCTAGTACCAGTGAGTAATTATCTCATACTATACTCTATCTTCCTGCTTTCACCCACAACCTTTTTAAGTTCTATTCATCTTAAAATACTATATACATTTTAATAATTCCTGATACCATGAATATTGAAAAGAAGAATTCATCATCTATCTTCCAGCTGGAAAATGCTCATACAGTGGGAAATCTGGATGGGAAAACTTTTAAGAGATTAATTTATCTTATATTTGGGGGGCTGTCTATCTCTAACCAGAGCATAGGACTATGAACTTGTTGTTTTGTATGACATTCACATTTTATACAAAAACACACACACTTAGAAATAATGATTGTGTAACATAGTCTACCTGTTCATCAACTGAAGCCTCTGGGAAGGAGGACAAGTGGAGAATATAACATCTCCTCCTGAGAAGTCATTGGATGACAGCAATTTTTCTACTCTACTAAAAAATGGTGGCCTTCTCCTTTTACCTCATTCGACTTAACAAACCATGTTGGGTTCCAAAAAGCAAGGTGATTCTGCACAAAGGAGAAGTTTCTTTTTTCTTCAAGTTCAATTTTAGAGATTTGAGGTTCTAGCCCTTCAGAAACGGCATTTTCCAACCTAGCTGCTCCTCCTCCCATTAAGGAAACAAAGTACGGATGTACAAGAGCTACTGGCTGTTTTTTTCTTCTTCAAGCAATATCAGGTTTTTGTTTAGGGATAACATTATTAGAAATTTGTCATTCTCTTTTTCAATGCAATTGGTACACTATACCACCCATGAAAAAGTAATGTTATATTCACAAAATATTATGCCTTTACCTTCAAAGATATGAATAAACTCTTCAAAGCCTTGAGTCCACGTTTCATTTTCTGAACCTGGAATACTTGTTTTTAAGAACTGAAAGATTGTTTTGAGCAAGGTCACTAAGAAACTGATGAGAATATATTCTGTCACAATAAACTGGGAGAGAAATGAAAGATATTGATGAATAAAAAAGTCTGAAGTGAAAATTATAGGACAATATAAGATAATAAGAGATACCTTTAGGGACTCCCATTAGCTCAGAATGCATTCACAATTGACCTGTAGACCTTCACACTTACAGTAATTTAAATTGCGGAGATCTGTTTGCTAAATCCCTCAACATTCGAAGTCTGAAGAGGTCTCCATGGTCATGTGGCCAGCATGACTAAACACCAAAGGCACATGGAATGCTGTTATCATCCCACCAAGATGATCCCGATTTTTCTACTTGCATTTTTACATGCTTTTGGACTGTTAGGTTGGCAGAAGCTGGGAGAAGTAACGGGAGCTCACTCCGCTATGCGGCGTTAGGTATTTGAACCGCCGAACTGCCAACCATTCTGATCAACAAGCTCAGCATCTTAATATATATATATATATTATTTACATATATTATTTGCCCATAGTGAGTCTGTGCTTCTGGGAGGATATATATATATTGCATTGCACTACAATGCTATTTGTCAACATTGTTATACAATGTATTGAACTAAAACAATCCTAGATTAAAGCTATATGAGAATTTGTCTAGAAACTAATTTCTAATTGATCTTTCCTTTAATAAATTACATTCTCCTATTTCCAGGAGTTCATCCTGTTGCCTTTGAAAATATTCTATTTTAAAGCCTAATTGGTGAGAGGGAATTAAATTGCACATGAGTGTGTCTCAAATACATGTTTCTAAGAGCACATGAAGGTGTTGGGGGCCCTGTCATCACCTTTTGGTGCAGGTCCCATTGTACTTTCCCAGAATCAGTTAAACCCTTGAGTCAAAATAGGTACAATTCACATGAATAAACATATAGCTTCACTTGAAAAGAACAAGAGGAGAGAATAAAATGTAATATTCTCATATACCTACATTAACAATAACTTGGGATAAATTAAATATTAGAATTTTGCTCAGCATGCAAAATATAGCATGCATTACAGCTTAGCTTCAATAATCAATGCCTGTTCTTTAGACTACAAATAACAGCTGATCCCCAGAATGCTTTCAGTTCAAAGGTGATTTGATTGGACCAAAAGCAGCAGTGACTTCCTTGTAAAAAGCATCACACGTGACCCTGCCTTACCATGTAAAGACATATGAACATAACAACAATTGTGCTGATTATTCTGCCAGGGAATTTAAAGTAGGGGTCCCATTGATATAATTTTCTCTGAAACCAGTTTTTCTGGGGATTCCTGTTGGTAGATAAAAATATAGGGGTTTTAAGTAACAAAAAAATCAGCTGTTTTGCATGTCACAGAAAAAAGCCTTTTCTTTCTCTAAATTTGAAACTCTTGTCATTACTTTGCTTACTTCTATGAACAGAACCCTTATTGTGAGGGCCTTTATCCATCTATGTGGCTGGATTGTAGACGATGGGGATTTATGAATGAGAACAAAAACAATGAATAGGATATGGGTGATCAATGCTCTCCCCCCCCCCCCCGGGCCAACTACTTTTGCACAGTTATCTCCATTTGTGAACTTTCCTGCCAGCTTCCCACAAGCAAAGTCAATGAGGAAGCTGGTAGGAAGGTTATAGGTTGATCTGGTAAGTAACTCACATTGTCCCCTTCACAGGCCACTCCTACATAGTCACTATCCCACCAAAAGCAACACCAGTTATTTGCTGCTGGTCTAATTTTGGTCCACTTGAGACTCACTTAATAACCTAATTTAATGCTGGCAACGAGGAGTGCTGGATTGTTGATGCTAAGCAATGCAATCACATGATATCATGTTTTACAACATGACTCAGTGATGATTCCAGTCCCAATTGCTGTCATTAATTGAGGACTACCTATAAACAGTATTGTCAAAATATTTCTCTCTTCATCAGAATGTCACCAAGAATCAAAGCATCAAAACATGACACTTTGTCAGCAAGATATTATGGGTTTTACTGAGGCTCCTGAGGGTTCAAAGGTTAACATGTTTATTCTAGGGTAAGCTTTTCAGCAGTACAGTCCATATTCCCACATGCATACATGCATCTGATGGCTGTACTCAATCAAACTTTAAGCCATGGTTAACCATTAGGGATTCATGAGATTCCAGATGCTTTACTTATCATTTTATGGAATGTGAGCTCATATTAGGATTTTGCTCATATTAGTATTAGCCTAATACCAAAAAAAGCCTATTAGTCTAGTACTGAAAAAAAGAAAAAAGAATTGTCAGAATATATCAAAGAAAAAATGTCTCCTCACCCAAGCACAGGCTTTCTCAGCAACTGCTGAACATACTGCAACTGGTATTCTTCTACAAAAGAATCTTTTTCCTATATTGTAAATAAAGTGTCTTTACAAATCAGGAATTACAAACCTAGCATATGTGCATATATGTGTGTTTATTTTAAGGGACACCCCCCCCCCCAAATTAGACACATAATATTATTCCATATTTCTGCTACTGCATATAATGGACAAAGATTTGCATGGTTAGACCACTGCAAATAATGCAATGTGCCTAGTTGAATTGTTATTCAGAGCATATCAAGGGACTTAACACACTTCTTATGCTTTTAACTGAGACTTTAGGAAAGTGTCGTGGAAGTAGACCTTAAAACAAAAGCCAAGATGGCAGCAATGGAAATCAAGGACAGAAAGGACGTTGGTCTTACCTGAATGTCCATTTTCTGAGCGGAGGAGGGAATGGTCACACGTGGGTTTTATCACAGCCTGATTGGTCCAAGACTGAGAGGAAAT